CTGGCTGCTCACCAGGACAAATCCCACCGGAGGAGGGGAGCAGAGAGGTGCCACACACAAGCTGGGTGCTTTGGCAGTGCAGGAAATCAGGGAAATCAGGAGAAGCAGACAGACATTTGCCATGTGTCCCAGCAGGATCCGTCAGCGATCCACGCTCCCAGTGAGGTGTGAGACAACAAACAAACACCAGAAGTGCAGCCAGCACCACAAGGAAGCCAGTCTTTTCCAAAGCTTTTTGTCTTTTCCAGCCAACAGCAGGGAGATGAACGATGCTYTCCAGTTTAAAACTCCCATGAGGTGAAGAGCACCTATTTATACAAATGTTTAAACAGAYAACAGGCCCAGCTTGGCCTAGAAGCCCCTCTGCATCCATGTGCTCCTTGAATGACTCCAGGAAGTGACTCGTGGCCCCTCTCTCCAGCAGAACGCTCAGCCCTGAGGGTCTCACCCTGGCAGGCTCAGCCACTGGAAACATTTCACCAAAAGAGCCCAAAGATTCCACCACAGAAGCCCAAAGGATGGCAGGGAGGACATGGGAAGTGTCCCAAGGGAGACGGAAGAGCCCAGCTGAGTTGCAGAGGAACAGGGCCCAGTGCTCAGCTGGTTTCCAGAGCAGGACTTCATCCAGAGGACAAATAAAGCTGTGACCATCCTCCTCCTTTCTTCCCATAATCCAGCAAGCTGCTTGAAAACTCATTTTTCTTATCTTCTCTGCCCAGTTGTATTTATTTAATCTTTTACAGGAAGAAAAGCAGGTTGAAACCTTCTATTTTTTATTTTATTAACAAAACTTATTCACTTTTATTTTACCAGCAGTTAAAAAAATGCTGTAAAAGGGGTTAGACACCAGGCCACTGCAGGGAATTCCCCCATATGAACATATTCCAGGAGTTTGATGATCCTTGTGGGTCTCTTCCAATTCCAGGATTTGTTATGATACTAAGAAGCAGACAGCAGTGAAAARCAGCACAATGCTCTTTTCCCAAGTGAGGGAGCGGGATCACATCGCATCCAGGCTCACTTAAGCTAAGCTGTTCCGACTCCAACACTTTGCACATGGGAGCAGATTCTTTTTATAGAGACCTGGCATGGTACAAACACTCCTTGTGAGGTTGTGTTTGAGGGATAAAGGTGCAGCAAGCGGGACGTGCCCCCATGAATTGCCATCACAGGACTGCACCGATCCCACACAGGGATTTCAAGCACCTCYGCTGGGTTTACATCAAGCCAGCAGCTCCATAAATAAACCAACTTGTAAATTAAGACTACACCTAATGGTATAATGGACTATTATATGATATAATGACAATAGTGTATTTTGAATTTGGAAATTAAAACTGCACCTAATGATAATAATGGAGTTTATGTACATGCCTCATGGGACAAAGCGCTTACTACTTATTTCCTTTACAAAGCAAATGGAAAACAGCAGAACTATTTGAAGGATGGTGTCTTGAATGTCAAACAAAACTCTAACTCCCTCTGTACCCAGGAGGATGCCTCACTTCAGGGCAATGCCTGATTTAATATCGGTGTTTTAGCTACTTTACAAATTCCTCCTTTCTAAAACTATAGAAATTGTAAATCTTCATGGAAATGCTCTGGACAAAGTCCACAACATTAAAACCTCACTGCATAAAGGCTGAATGAATTGGGATTGTTCTGCTTGGAGAGGARAAAGCTCCTGGGAGACCTCAGATCCCCTTGCAGGGCCTAAAGGGGCTCCGGGAGAGCTGGAGAGGGACTGCGGACAAGGGATGGAGGGACAGGACACAGGGAATGGAGGGAGGGGATGGATGGGATATTGGGAAGGAATTGTTCCCTGGGAGGGTGGGGAGGCCCTGGCACAGGGTGCCCAGAGAAGCTGTGGCTGTCCCTGGATCCCTGGCAGTGTCCAAGGCCAGGCTGGACATTGGGGCTGGGAGCAGCCTGGGACAGTGGGAGGTGTCCCTGCCATGGCAGGGGTGGCACTGGATGAGCTTTAAGGTCTCTTCCCACCCAAACCATTCCATGATTTCGTGATTAAAGATTATATTCCCCCTCCAGCCTGACCTGGTGACACCCCGGGCCTGGCACAGCAGCCTCGTGACACTGGGAAGGTCCCCGTTGCAATCCCACTGCTTCCCAGAAATGCATCAACACCTCCCTGCAGCATCCACAGGGATTCCTCCCGAAATTCCTCCCTGAAGCTCCCAGCCTCCACTGCTGGCAGAATGTGACTCTCACAATCACTAAGCCTGTTCAGGTATTGCTCATTTGGAAATCAATTGTACAAATCCTGATGGAATCGTTCTCATTCTCACAGCGTGCGCTTTGTTAACCTGCTTAAATTAACCTGCAACGTTCCAAAAATGAGGAATATCAGTTATGGACAGTCAGAGACTTCATTCCTGTGCTGCAAAGGCACCTTAACGCTGCAGCTGTGCAGCAGAACTCAATCCAGCCCAGTAATTACAGACCTTATCTGTGCTGGGATACAGAGCTGCAGCTTCTGAAAGTACTTACAAATGACAATTCCAGGCTGGATGTCTGCAGCTGTAAGGAGGGAAAAATGGGTTCGTTACAGAGCAACAAAGCACACATTTCTAGACCCCTACAAGTCAACTTCCAAATTCAAAACTAAATTTCCAAGGAGTTTGCATCCATAGGTTTTTCCTAAAGCTGAAGTCTTTATTGCTTTCCTTCTGGTGAAAAGTAAGGGGATGGAGAGGGAGAGGCAAATGCCATACTCAGTGTTTACCTAACAAAAAAATGTAGGTTCCTGGAAAAACAGTTCCAGTGCAGCACCCAGCTGGGACATCCCAGACACTGCACAGGCAAATAAATAGGGAAAATTCCTGTCCATCAGCTCCTAAGCCAATCCCACTCCGAAAAGGATCAGAAACACCACCGGGACTTTCTTTGCCTCTCCAAGTGTTCCAGCCAAACATTATTTATTATAAGCTTTAACAGATAAAAGCATGATAGAGCAGTAAATCACAACTTAATCCCATAAATTTGGTTTGCCAGTCCTCAGGCTGTCCCAGGGTCAGGATGCCCCTCAATTTAGGGTGCCATGGAAGGGTCTGTGAAACAGTCTGAGGGTTCAGACACAGGAATCACCAGGGCTCCCCAGCAATGCCAGAGCACGCCTTAGACAGGACACAGCTTTTTCTCATTCCCCATCAGCATCCAGAGAGCTGAAGGCTCACTAAAACTAACTAAAACTCACTAAAAGTGTCAGAAAAAAATCACGGAATGGTCCATGAAATGTGTCTGGAAGGCACTTCAGGAGGCCTCAGGTCTAGTCTCCTCCTCTGAGCATCTGCATCCACATCAGGTGGCTCAGAACCTTGTCTACCCACAGCTGGAATAGTCAGGAGTTCCTGCACCTCTCCTGAACCCTATCCCAGTATTCAGGCCTCTCTGCCAAGTGAACATGCTTCCACGGGTCCATGAAGGATTTCCCATGTGCTCACCRAGCCCAGGAACAGAGCCAGGCTCTRTCCTCTCACACCCTCCTGGGTCATCCCATCTCCTCCTCTGCTCCAGCCTCATCCTGAGGGGGCCCCAAACCAGACCCACAGCTCAGACAGAGCACAGGGGACAGTCCCTTCCCATAACACTTCTGCTAAYGCAGCCAAAGCCACCACTGACCTCTGGTGACTCCTGATCACCTTCCTGTCCACAGGGGCTSTTCTGCAAAGCTGCTTCCAGCCAGCAACCCCGGGGCAGGGCTGGCCTTTGCTGAACATCACGGGGTTCCCATTACCCTGTTGCTCCAGCCTGTCACAGTSCCTCTGAAATCCAGACCTRTGACCTCTCTGCTCCACTTGGCATCACCCACAGCCCGGCTGCGAAGGCRCTCACCCGTTAATAACCACATTACACAGCAAATACTGCAACTAATGAAGTGTGATCTTATCACAGCTAGCAAGAACCGATCAAATTGTATGTACTCCTGATCAATCCCTGAGAGGATACAGCTAATGGGTGCACCACCACCACATCAGCTCCCAAATGGGGTCCGGCATGTTGTGTACAACTCCAAGAGGGAGCTGATAGTGTGCCATATGTGCCAAATACAAGTTATGAAGTATTAAAATGATTATCAACCTTGTATCATCACAAAACAACTTTTGGTTTGAGCTCTCCCTTCCTCCTGCTTATAAAAATTCCACCACAGCAGAGAAGCAAACCCAGGGAGCCAGCCCAAAGCAGCCTCTCCCCAACACAGAACACASAGACTCAGCTGACAAGGAATGGAAAACTCTGCTGGGATAAAATAAAGCCGTGGAGTAGTTCCACCTGACCACACACTATAAACCTGTAGTGCCTTCTGCTCCACAAGCCCTGCTGGGAAATATTAGTGGCAACTTGGGAATAATAAACAACAGACAAACAACATCCAGAATCAGTCACAGGAACATGCATTCTTGGAAACAGCAAGGTCTCAGTCTTCCAAGAACAAAGGATGGGGCTGCTGGAAAACACAGCCCTAACACCAGGCACCACCCAAGCATTCCTGGACAGAGCCCTTCMAAACAGGGCCTCAAACCAAAGGCTGAAACTTAACGCAGAATCACAGAATTGTGAAATATCCTGAGCAGGCAGGGACCCACAAGGATCATYCAGTCCAGCTCCTGACCATGCACAGACCCCCCAACAATTCACCCTGTGCATCCCTGGGAGCAGCATTCAAATGTTCCTGGAGCTCTTGCARCCTCGGARCCATGCCCATTCCCTGGGGAGTCTGTTCAGTGTCCAACCACCATCGGGGGGAAGAACCTTTCCCTATCTCCAGCCTGACACAGCTTCATTGACTCCTCACGGGCTGTGGGCACAAGTGCCACCCCCACTTGCTGCACAGSACCTCCACATCTCTCCAAAATCTGCTCCTTTAATCCTGTGGTCTCCACTCCTGCACAGCCCTGGAGAGGAGGGGCATGTCAGTGTCCCACTGGCACGAGCACATCCCAGTCACCCATGTCCATGCTGCAGGCAAATCCACCCAAACTCACCCCATCTTCCGAACCGGGACTGGTGTATTTTTCACACGCTTCCAAGAAGAGCCACCACTCCTGACAGTTGCAGAAGACCTGAAAAAAAAAGTTTGTGGAACCACCCCTGTGCATTTCACAGGAAAAGAGAAACTTCAAAAATCGTGAAGATTTCCAGAGCTGGGGAATTAGTTGCCATGGATATTTGSTGCTGTGACAAATACTCTAATTCTGTGCTGGGGTGAGTGACAGGCACAAAGCACCAAGTCAGCTGGGAACAGCAACACAGCGCGACTGGAACACAGCACACACAGCCCTGTGTCTCTGGGAGCATCCCTGAGGAAAACAAAGCCATGGACCTCAACACACCACCAGCACCAGGAGGCCAAGTGACTTCCTAAAGGAGCTTTGCTCCTRTCCAGGTCACCAGTGCCAGCCCCTGTTGTCTCATCTGTGGCCGTGCCAAGGGAAGGAGAGTTCACTGTTCTCTGAGAGTCCACCCAGCCACGGTGTTCAGGTGTGCCAGCCAACCAGCCTGAAGCTGGTGAAATCCTGAGAGGATCTTACACCAGCAACACACAARCAGCAGGTGAAAAGGACATTTTCCTGCTCTATTTCTTATAAAGTTCCTAGCAGAAACCTGCTGTAGCTACYAATAACAGATTAAGAATCACTGCTTTGTGTTACAGAAGGAAAAGAGAAAGGCAGTGACTCCCAYTTCACCATGTTTACCCCCACATGCGTTGCAGAAGCTGCTTTAAACAGCCCCGCGTGCCCAGACAGTGCTCTCATCCAGAAAGATTGGGAGAATTAAGACTATTTTTAGGGGCTGAAGCACCTCCCCCTGAGTCACTGCAGGGACATACATCTATCTGGTCGTGATTCAAAGCAGAAATAGCCTCGAAGAGTTAGATAAAAATAAAAAAAAAAAAAAAAAAAAAARCCAGGAAAGTGGATACTAACAGAGTTTGGTGTGAAAGGAAGGGCAGAGAAAACATGGGTGACAGCAGGTTTGTGCCACAGTCAACAGTGCTGACACAGCATCAGCTCCATCAGTGCACAGTGTGTCATGATGTGACCTGTAAGCAGAGCCAAGCTCACAGCGATGTCTCACAGTGAGGAGCAGCATCACCTGGGGACAGCACAGGCCAGGTACAAACCAGCCCTGCCAGGAGCACTGGCTTGCAGAGGGGAAGCGCATCCCAAGTGCCTGGAAGGGGACCAAAGAGGAGATTTGTTCCCGTTTGTTCAGCTTTCATCGCGGAGCTCCGCTGACACGCAGTCCCACGCTCCCATCTGCATGTTTAATTGCAGCGTTGATCGGTTGGCAGCCCAAGGCTCGGCACTGGCCCTGCACACACAGCTGTGAGTCAGCAGCCGCTGCCCCAGCACCACACACACATCCAGCTCTGTTTGCCTCCAGCTTCGACTCTGCCTGCCCAGCCCGCAGCCGGCAGACACAGGAATATTATGTCATTAATTATTAAACAAGCTTTTTGATCGAAACCAAACAAAGGCTGACGTAAAGCGTGGAAAGATCCCTGCCACGGTGCTGTAGGAAATGATACAACAATTGAACGGTATAATGAGGACCTGAAGGGATATTAAACACCTCCAGTTAGTGCTTCCTAAACCTGAGCTATCTTATTTAAAGATAAATCTCCAGGATGCTGCCTGCCCTTCTGACTGCAGGCTGGGACAGCTCACATTTCAGGGTGACAACCTGAGCTGTTGGCCATCAGCACCAGAGCTGACAGACCTACAGGGAGCAGAGGGCTCTGATATCACTGATAGCACTTCAGGTACCTAAAATTACCCAGCTACAATAATTGATACACAAGCACAAAACAATACAGAGAAGCTCAATAGTCTGACCTGCTGCAGCATAACTCAACCTACAGATAATGAATGTCCTCGTTGTTCAGAGGCGAGTTCAGAGCCCATTGCACTGATTGGAAACTCCTTTYGAGGGGAAAATGAGGCAGGATACAGGGATACTGAATGGAAAAGCACAGCAGGTTCTTCACAATACTCCTGACAAGAAAGATCAGCTCCTTCCCGGTGACTCACTGTGGGTACAGAGGATGATAGGCCATACAAGCACCAACTTAAACCTGTAATTGGAGCAAGCCAAGTTGGAGCTGAACACATATTTCCCTGGAAAAAGACAGGCAGAGGAGCTGCAGGAAGAGGCAGGTGATTCCAGTCACCTCTGGAGCAAAAGGACAGCCGTTGTGCTCCTGGAACAACACGGCAGCAGAGGGACCGAGGGCTGGCAAGGGTTTCCCAGGGGTGAGCACAGCCATGGATGTCCCAGAGCAGGAGCCAGCCCACACCAACCTCTGCTCCTAAAGGTCAGCACAGCCTCTGCTGTCCCACTCCAGCAGAGCTGAGGCAGCTGCAGCACTGTGCAGGAGAGATGCAGGGCTGGCCAGTGACCCCCTGCCCTTGCCCAGGACAGCAAAGCAGAACTACACCAGCATGTGCCCCACCAGTGGAAACGGGACCAGGTGAAACCAGAAACGGGTGACGGGCACCTCCCTCAGGTAAGAACCCAAGAAGCTGAGCCCATAAAAACCCTCCATACCTGCAAACTGCTCCAGGAGTGAAAACTGCAGGGTGAGCCAAGCTACCTGAGAGATCCCTGCACGACCGACCTTGACACAGCAGCACAGGCTGCTGTGCTTCCACGCGGATCCAGAGTGCTCTGCCCCTCTCAAAGTTTAGTTCTGYACATGACAAATCAGTTATTTCTTCTGCAATTCCACCAAATGAAGTACTTGAGCCAGTACAGAATCATGGAATGGTTTGGAAGGGAAGGGACCTTAAAAGTTCCACTCCCTTACCATGGACAGGGACACCTTTCACGAGACCAAGCTGCTCCAAGCCCTGTCCAACCTGGTCTGGAACACTTGCAGGGATGGGGTGAGGGACAACATCAATCACATATAACCAAATGAAGATGATATGGACAGAAAAAAAGCAGAAAGATGGTACATGGCTGCTGTTGCAGTTTGCAACCAGCAAACAGAACCAGGCAACAGCTATAAAACCCTCAGCCAGCACTAATAACCAAGCCATGATGGAAACATCCTTAAGGATGAGATCCTTAAGGATGAGATCCGTGTCTCACACCCTCCTGCAGAGTCAGCAGCAGTTGCTGTTCAGAGTCAAGTGAGCCCAACCTCCGCCGCAGAACTAAACTGGGAGCAGAGCTACCCAGCCTGGAACCAGCAGCCCAAAGAGCATCACTCCCCTCGCCCCACGGCGCCACTCAAATGCAACGTGGACATGTGGTGTCCCCACGGAGCTGTGCCAGCACCAAGTCCACAGGGACAAAGCACAGCAACGAGCTGCCTCTGGAATGGGCAAATAACAAGGAGCAACAGCAAAGCACCATATGGATGCAGCGAGTGCCATGGGAAAACAAGCTGACTGGGAACACCAATTATTCATCACTGTTTAAAAACAAGTAGCTCCAAGTCACCAGGAGCTGCAGGGCTGCCCTGGAAACCTGCACRCTCCAGCATTCAGAGAGTGACAAACACTCCAGAACTTGTCTACAGAGGGACAAGGTATTACAAAAATCATTGCAGCAGAGTGTGTTGCCTCACTCTATTATGTACAAGCTAAACATAAGGAAGTGTTTTCCCCTCCAAGGGTGTTCCGACACTGGAAGAGGGGCCTGGAGAAGCTCTGCACACCTTGGAAACTTCAGGAGCTGGAGCACAAGTGTGATGAGGAGAGGTTGAGGGAGCTGGGAAAGGGGCTCAGCCTGGAGAAAATGAGGCTCAAGTGGGCCCTTCTGGCTCTGGACAACTCCCTGACAGGAGGGGGCAGCCGGAGGAGTCAGGCACTGTTCCCAGAGAACAGGGACAGGAACAGAGGAAATGACCCCACGTTGCACCAGGGGAGGTTCAGGTTGGATATTGGGAAAATCTCTTCACTGGAAGCTTGGTCAGCCACTGGCACAGATACTCAGGGCAGCAGTAGAGGGATTTAAAAGCCATGTGGATGTGGCACCTGGGGACATGGGTCAGTGGCCACCTAACGTGTGGATGTGGCCACCGGGGATGTGGTCTTGGCAATGCTGTGGGAACAGTTGGATCAGAGGCTCCCAGAGGTCTCTCCTGGAAGCCCCAATCCCACCACATCTCTACCACCAGCAATGGGGTTCAAGCTCTTTCCTGAACTCCCCAGCTCAGCTTTCAGCACAAGACACAGAATAAAGCCCTCGGGGCTATGCTTGAACCCTTGTGATACCAACCAAGAGTTAACTGCTGGATAAAATAGAGCTGGTGAAGAATGCTGTGCCGGGAAACAGGGTTTTTCCAGGGAAATGAGCTGCAGGATGACCCAGACACGACAGCTGAAGTGCCCCAGGCACCCATCACTGCTCTTAGAGGAGAGTTAATGCTGCTTGATGGAGAAGACTTTTCCTTCCCAACAATAAAGGCACCACACACAACACGACATGGTTTTCCCCTCTCCATTTGTCACTGCTTTCATCTTTACACCCCAGTGCCCACACAAAGCACTGCTGAAAGCTCTCCAGACACACAGCCCACAGGTACCCAGCTCCAGCCCATCCCACAGAGGAGCCAACACATCCCAGAGCACTTGGAAAGGTCAAGGAGGTGCTGGGAGAACACAACACTCTTGGAGCATCCATGGTCACATGAGCCAACGCAGATCTTCGATGAATTAATACTCACCTGAAGATCCTTACTAATCTCCTTGAAAACACTTATCTGTTCAAGGTGATTAGATTCTCCCGTACAGAGCCGCTAATTATAGATAATGATAAATCTGACTGGCAGCCTGCCAGGAGTTCAGAGAGAGTTTGGATCATTAGCAAGTCAAGCAGACTAGTCCTGCATCCCCAAACTGCCTTCCCACKCCAGCAACACCAAATCAGCCAAAAAACTTGGTCAGAAACAACCTAAGAAGGACAATCAAGGGCAACTAAAATGGTCCAGCTATCTTCCTGTGGGTTTAAGAACTTCCTAAACCTTCACACCTCACTCTAGAGGAGGGTACTGCACAGGAACTCTTCAAGAATTCCTCAGCTGTGTTATTTTTCACAGGTTCAGAGCAGAGAAGCAAAAAAGATGAAAGCAAAAGCAGATGAAGCTTCCCTGGCAGCAAGACTTGATGTCTTCATCGATGYAGCAAAGCTGCAGGAGGCTTTAAATGCTCCATTTGGGAAAAATGCTCTAATTAGAAGCTTTAATTCAGCAAACTGTCCCCGTGAAACCAACTGGGCAGCAAATAGGCACCGCATTTGAGCAAACCCCTTGGAGCGGCTCCYGATGGATGGCACGGCACCCACCCACCCACTGGCACGACTGGGGACGCTGAGGGGACAACAGGGATTTCATGAGCTCAACCCTGCAAACCAAAATCCTTCCAGGCAACGTGACAGGCTGGGGTTTTAATGCTAAAGAGCGAGCGGCAGGAAATCCAAATGGAACAAAAAGCTTCAACCTGGAACTGAATCAATCCCCTTGAGGACACAGCTTGGGCATCACAGGGCAGCTTTCTCCGTTTAGATGATTTTAGGAGATAAGCAAAATTAAGTTTCTATGAAGCCACTCCCAAGCAGCCACWGCTAAATCAGGTGGGTTGTGTAGCTATAAAGGTGACAACACAAAAAGAGTGCAGCACTTCACCTGCAAAGGGAGGAAAGGAGACTTCTGGTGTGGATCWGCTGAGCTGGGATGAGCACAAACAGGCATCAGAAAGCCAGACCTGTGACTCTCACAATGCCAGAGACCTCTATAGAATATATATAGATACACAAATATAGATACATGCTCTTTATCAGTGAACAGGCAGCAGCCTGACACCTGCCTGGYTCCTGCCATGGAGCTGGAATTTGTATCAGAATGGAAATGCCAGTTTTTACCCCAGACTGTCTCCCAAGAGCACTCCCAGATGAGCAATTCAAGCTGACACAGCCACTATTTCAGAGCAGTTTTGAAGAGTATCATGGAGGCTTTTCTCCATTTAAGAAAGACTTTACCACGTGTTCTGCACTATATTTTTGTACTCCTGACTCACAACCAAATTAACTCAGTTGTCATCAAGCCCAGCGATGAGAAGAAGCACAAAACCCTCCAGCATCCCTTTCCCCAAGCAGCTGCTGGTTTGCCCTGCCTGAAAGCTCCACAAAGTTTCAACTTTTTCACATGCTGCTCAGAGTAATTTCCCTGGGTGTTTCTGTTTGTTGCTTCAGCCTAAAACAGATCAAATGGTCTTAAAATAAACCTGGTTGTTCCCATCTAAAATAATTGTTGMAGAAAACCACTTGTTTGCTCATGACAGACTTGGCATTAGCTCACAAAAATAATATTCTGACATGGCTACAAGCAGAGTGTTAAAACTCCAACAATCTTTTYGAGCAGAGTTAAAGCATTCCAGAAAGGATTACAGTAAATTAGCTGAATTAATGAGAGGTAACTACATTTTTTTGGGGGAGAGATTGTTTGGGTTAAGTTCTTTGAGGGTTTTCAACAACCTCAAGCAAACAAACACATCATTTACCTTCTGCACTGCTACCTTCTGTGGTCCGACCCCAGGACCCAAGTTCCAGGTCTCTCTTAAGAGCTGGAAGAATTCATATTCATACCTGACAGGGAGCTGGAGCTCTGGGATCTGCTTCAGGCTATGTGTCAGCAGCTGGAGCTGAGAGGAAATCAGCTGATGAACTTTATGTCGGGAACAAAAACAGCTTTGGCATGGCCTTTACAGAGAATTCCTGTCTCAGAGGGGTTTGGCACTTTAAAGACTTTTTATTTTATAAACCTCAACCATTTCTAATATCCGGGATTGTTTCCGTGTCCTGAAGTACAGCCAACATCTGCTCCACAACACTGAGGGTGACAGAGCACTTGTGTTCCAAGTGACAAGAATAAACACGATCCAAATCACAGAATCTCCGAACGGTTTGGGTGGGAAGGGACCTTAAAGCTCCTCTCGTACCACTCTCCTGCCACGGACACAGACACCTTTCTAAACGGTAAAAAAATCCAACATTCGCGTTTGTATTTTCACCGCTCAAGTGAGACAAGCAGCGCAAGAGAACTTYCAAAGATGACACCACTTTGGATTCAGACTCGCAGCCTCGGGGCGTCTGACACGCTGAGCCCACAGCCCGTCTGCACAAACCCACCGCGTCAGACAGCACAGGGAGCCAGACACGGCTCTGCAATCACTGCTGGAGCTTCCCTCCGTGCCTCAGGAACGTAGCCCCAGCCTGGGCTGACTTGCCAAGCCCGACATCCCCGGCACAGCATCCCAGGCCATCCTCCCACCGCCACCGCAGCGCTCGCAGCCACTGGCACTGCTGGGGGAAGGATTCCCAGGCTCTGGCAGGGAAACCGCAGCAGCAGGAGCAGGTTACACAGTGAAGGGAAAAGGGCTTGGGTTGTTGGGCTGGAAGGGGGGGATTTTGGCAGTTGAGGCAGCCGGAGCTGCTGCAGCAGGAGGGGAGGGAGGGATAGGATGSAATGGAGATCCAAAGCTCTCGATCCGGGGGCCCCGCTGCCCCGCACCGGACCCCGCCGCGGCTCTSCAGGATCAAAACCTGAGTTTGTCTTTAAGAGAGGAAAAAAAAGGCCAAACTGAGCAATACGAGGCGATTTTCGCTGTACAGCAGCGCAGCCCCCGTGGTCCCCCTCTCGGYGGCCCCTGCCCGGCCCCCCGGCCCCGGTACCTGTAGTAGCTGAGCAGCCCATTGCTGAGCACGAACCAGCGGCGCTGGTAGCCCTTCAGGTAGTTGGTCCACTTGAAGAGCCACCCCTTGTAGGTGTCGGAGCCCGGGGGAGCGGCGGGCGGTCCCCCGGCCGGGCCCCCGCCGCCGCGGCCGCCGGGCTCGCCGCTCATGGCCGGCAGCTCGTGGCAGGCCAGGCAGGGGACGGCGCTGAGGAGCGAGACCAGCCCGCGGGTGCCACCGCCGCAGAGCGCGGCCGCCTTCCCCATAGACCCCGCGGGGCCCGGCCGAGGCTCCGCCGCTCCCGGGGCGGCCCCGGCCCGTCCGCACCGACCGGGGGCGGCGCCGCCGCCACGTGACCGCCACGGGGCGGGGAGGGGGGGCTGAGGGCGGGGGCGGCGCGCGCCCCCCGGCGGCGGGGCGGGAACGGGGCGGGAACAGCGCGCGCCGCCCCCGCCCTCACCCCTCCCCCGCCATTTTGACCCCCCGCCGCCATTTCGTGCCAGGGGGCGGACTGGGGGGAAAGGTTGGGAATTGTTCCGTACAAATTTTCCCGTTAAAAATTCTCTTTGGGTCGCCTGCCCAGCCGGGAGATTAAGCTCCATCCCATTGTCCCGCTCGCCTGCTCCCTCTACCAGCACACAGACTTGGAGTTTATGTCTGAGGGGATATCTGTGCCCAGGGTATTGTGGAGGCCTGTGGCAGGTGCTGTCCGGCTGGCTGTCCCCACATACACTGAGGGCTTTTCTTCCCTTCCTTCTTCCCTTTCCCCTTTTCCMCTTCTCTYATTTTCTCCAATCCCTCTTCCCCCTTGCCTCTGCCCTTTTCCCACTTCCCCATCATGGATCACATCTCACTCATCWCCCTGATCCACTCTGATCTCCCTGATCCCATTATTCTCACCCATCACYTTCACACACTGTCCCAGTGCTGCCAGGAGCTCAGGGAGTCAGGGGGCTCCCCCAGCTCTGGAGAGGGCACAGTGCTCCAAGCCCTGAGATCCAGACCAAGCAGCTCCAGGGATGAAGAAAGATGTGGACTGACTCCATGCACTACTCTGGGCTGTGCTCCTGCCCCACTGGAGCAGAGCGAGCAATTCCTCCCTGGCGAGTCCTTCAGCCAGGAGCACCAGTGACACTGAGGCAGGCCTTGGGACAAGTCCTGGCTCTGCAACAGCCTGAGAGTGCTTTGGGCTGCAAAGAACTGCTTTTCAGAGAGCCATGGAATGGGGTGGGTTGAAAGGGACCTTAAAGCCCATCCCAGTTCCACCCCTGCCATGGGCAGGGACACCTTCCATTATCCCAGGCTGCTCCCAGCCCCAATGTCCAGCCTGGCCTTGGACACTGCCAGGGATCCAGGGGCAGCCACAGCTTCTCTGGGCACCCTGTGCCAGGGCCTKCCCACCCTCCCAGGGAACAATTCCTTCCCAAYATCCCATCCATCCCTGCCMTCTGGCASTGGGAACCATTCCCCYTTGTCCTGTCTTTCCGTCCCTTGTCCCACATCCCCCTCCCATTCTCTTAGAGCCCCTTTAAGCACTGGAAGGRGCTCTAAGGTCTCCCTGGAGCCTTCTCTTATTCAGACTTATGTTGTGGCAGGAACTCTTAGGCTGTTGCTGTTTGGGCACTGAAGCCTCCCTGGACAAGGAATGTTCTTCTTGCTGTAACTACCCCCCAAACTATCCACACGTACCAACTTCTCAAAGTCTCACAGATCCCAGCATCTCTTGTGGCTGCCAAGAAGGAAACACACCTTCCCTGGACGTGTCTGTGGAGAGAGGGGCAKCCCCATTCCACTGCTCTCTCCTGGGAAGGGAGGCTGCAAGGAAGGGCCCTAAAGTTAGGAGTGGGCTGTCAACTCCACACAGGCAGGACTGGACAGGATGAGGGCAAGCGGCCTCAAGGTGTGCCCTCAAGGTGTGCTAGAGGAGGTTTATATTACATATTAAGAAAACTTTCACGTGGGACAGACTGCCAAGGGAAGTGATGGAGTCACCATCCCTGGAAGTGTTCATAAAACATGTGGATGCRGTAYTTGAGGACATGGGTTGGTGGTGAACAGGTTGGTACCRGCTTGACTTGATGACCTTAAGCATCTTTTCCAACCTTAACAATTTAATGCTTTTATCTGGAAGAGCTTGGACCCAGCAGCTTTGCCAGGGAGAGAAAAGGGATTTGGGGCTTTATTTCTTGCCCCTGCCCTTGGCCCTGGCCTTGGCCCTGGCCTTCTTCAGCTCTGCCTTGTAGGTGGAGCGTACCAAGTAGCCTTTCCAGTAGGCCTGGATGCAGGCAGCTGCACGGTTCCTGTTGGCCAAAATCCGCTCAGCCTCCTCCGCCCTCTCCTTCAGTATCCTGCGCTCCTCCAGGATTGAGTCGTACTCCTGGATCAGTGTAGCRTGTTTCTCCATCAGCAGGGCCAGCTGGGCCTTCTCCTCGTTGTACTCAGCCTCAATCTCGTCGTAAGTGGCCTGGCAAGACAGCAGGGGTCAGGGGCAACAGGCCAGCAGCTTCTCCCCACATCCCCAGGTGAGGGTCCTGAAACCCATCCCAAAGTCATGGAACCATGACTAGCTGGAGCCTTTCCAAAGGAAAGCAGGTGCTCAGCATCCAGGGAATTCCATGAAATGCTGGGTCCTTTGATGCTCCCCTGAAAAATCCTCCCACCATGGAAGATTTGGGAACCAGCAGTGTGGGGATGGGTCTGCCTTGACACATTCTGCCCCAAATGTGAGGSTCCTGCCTCCCCACAGACAGGAAACTAAACTAATCCCATTATTAAACATCAGACGGGGGATCATTCCTTASAATTAGCAGAAGGTTTCAGGCCCTTCCCTGCATTTGGCTGTGTTAGGAATCCAGCAGCTTTTATCCAGCCCCATAAATAGTGCAAGAACAGGAAAGCCACCAGGGCCTTCCCAGAAGCACATTTTTGGGGGTGCTGATGTGACCCTCAGCCTGTTGTGGCTCAGTTGGGTGCAACACTCAGCACATCCTTTAAGGTCCTAAGGTCCCTAAGGTCCTGCTCCAGCAGGAACAGGAGCAGGATTTGGATGCCAGGTAGCGCCACAAGGATTGAGGATTGGGGCAAAACTGAAAACCTATTTACTGGCATCAGGTGGATGTGCCTGACAGAACATGGTGACCCACCTGACCCCAAAAACTGTGGAATTTAGCAGTGAATGTAACCTTTCCTAAAGCCAAAGCAGCAGAGGACTCCTGGACACATAGACCCTTTTCCGGTAGTTCATCTGTATGCAGAACTGCCKCTCACTTCCATGGCCTCCTGAGTAAGAGCCATGCATCCCTTTGGACAGGAATCTACCAGAGCAAATCACCTCATGGCAGAGAAAAGCACTTAAAGCCAATACCTGTCTTTCTGCCATGTCTTTGTCATATTTCTGGACCCATTTCTCAATKTCACTCTCCGTGTTGCACTTCTCCTGAAACGCAAAACAACATCAGATTATTTCAGGCACCTGAGGCCTGTTAAGAAGTATCCTGACTGAGAAAACATAACAGCTTTGGTGGCATCATTACATCTGAGTGTTACACTTCCTCCCTGTAACAAGCTTCCCTCAGCTGATAAATTCTTGGTTTGCCCTGGTTTGAAGATTCTCCTGGGACATTCCCAAAGGGATTTATTTGGTTTACAGCTTGGAGCTGAGGGGCTGAACAGCACCTGGAAGTTGCTTTCTGCAGGAGGAAATGAATGTGTCTGATGGAATGTGGCAAGTCATCAACAAACTGGGGCAACCAGCCTGAAAATGAAGCAGTTGAGAACTGCAAAACATGAACGTGGGACAGAAAGAATTCAGAGGATGGTATGTTTTAAAATAAAGAYATTTCTGGCTGTAAAACAGTTCAGCAGGGGCTATACTGCTCTACAACCTGGGGCAGTTTACCTCCAGCTCTGGATGTGTGCTCTGTGCAATCATTCCTGCTCCATTTCCTGTGTGGCACTGCCCCAGGATGTCCCAAGGGCTCCCAGGCCATCACGAGGCCACACCTGAGCTATTTAGACCACAAGTACAACTTGTACTTGCTGAGGAAAGGAGGTCTCTGTGGTCAGTAAATGCATCTGCCTGAGTGCTGGAATGAGCTGAGCTTTCTACCAGCAGCCCTGCTGTGGCAGGAACTGCCTGACATAGCTGCAAAGGCAAAGATTTTGGGGGTTGTACTGCAGCTCTAACTCAGGTTTGATGCTTTGTCAGTGCCCAGCCCTCTGTGCTGCACCACGCAGGGCAAGAGTGACAGGTGCCCCATCACCAGCATGGGCTTCCTGCCCATGGGAGGCTGTGCTGGTTTGGAGGGAATACCCAGAGTAAGCAAAATGAGAAGGAAAATGCCCTTTTTGCATTCTAGATTCTGTGTCACCAGTATATATTACTGAGGGCAGAGCTGTTGCTACAGGGGCCTGAGCCTGCCTGCTGCTCCCATTCTACCTCCTGTCTCTGCTCAGCTCTGGGGACTTYRGGGTGCTGGTGGGTGAGGGCTGGACTTGTCACAGCCCTGAACCCCTCMCCCACACCCTGGGCTGTTTCCCCAGCGTGGGCAGCAGAAAAGTGGGGGGTTCTGTCCCTGCTCAGGTGCAGAGCTGCCCTGGGGCCCAGCACAGGAGGGACCTGGA